CCATTCCACCGCTCATCGAGCCACGAATTCCACTCGTAGGGGCATTACCGGACATATGAGTCCAAATGTACAGGTTACAACTGAAGCTACCGAGCCAAAACTACGATTTAAACCTGGCCTCAGGTCCTCCAGACTAGCCCATCACCAAAACATATAATACACATCTCGAACCTCGTTCATAGAATCACAAGATGGCAATGCACAACCGATACCGAGCGCTCATGTGCACATACGAATGCGTGGAAGGAATTCAAAGAGTTATGTTCCAAGATGAATCAATTTTTCACGATAGAATACAAAAAAGTGAAATTTTCCTAAGGGTTCTACAGCCTCTCGAAGATAAGTACAGACGTCTCCGTACCGATCTGCAAGACTCTACTAAACCCGCTCATGACTCGTGAGACCTATGTAACCTAGGCTCTGATACCAATCTGTCACGACCCAAACAAACCCCTATCGTGATGGCGCCTATCGTGGAACTAGGCAAGCCGACTCATTTCCAAAACAAACCGATATTTTCATTTCAAAGATAATTTCAATGCTATTTAACATAAAAACCTTCACAAAGGAGTTCAAATCAAAACAAAAGTGCGGAAAAGAAAAGCCCAATATCGGGGTGTTACTAGTCATGAGCATTTACAATAATCTGTCTAACAATATCAAGGCTAACTCAACCTGAAAAATAGCTAAATACAACTAGAGGAAGATAAGAGGGAGAAGAGCAGGGCTGCGATCGCCAGGCAGCTACCTTGCTATCCCCGGGAAAATCTGCAATCAGAACAATCGACAACCGGTACCATGTCCAGCTACACCTGGATCTGCACATAAGGTGCATGGAGTAACGTGAGTACGCCAACTCAGTAAGTAACAACAATAAATAAAGACTGAGCAGTAGTGACGAGCAATAAAGCATATAACGTTCATATAAGAAAATCTCAGTAAAATACCACATGCTTTAAAAATCAGGATTTGAATCAAAATATCTCGTTTAAACCCAGTTCGAGTAAAAATTATTTAAAGATATTTTTCAACAGTTTTCAAACAGAGGAAAAATGCAAAGTGAGCAAAAATGATGCAATCATAAATAGCCCCTCGGGCTAACCTCACAGTCACTCGTGCCACTCGGGCATACCTCACAATCACTCGTGACACTCGGGGATACCTCACAATCACTCATGCCTCCCAGTCACTCAGTAGGTACCTGCGCTCACTGGGGGTGTGTACAGACTCCGGAGGGGCTCCTTCAGCCCAAGCGCTATAATCTGCACGGACAACTCACGTGCTACACGGACAACTCACGTGCTATAATAATAAAGTATATTGCAGGCGGGCAGCCCCGATCCACACTCATCCTCATAATCAGGCCCTCGGCCGATATCAAACATGCTGCGGCGTGCAGCCCGATCCCATAAATATGCAACATGCTACGGTGTGCAGCCTGATCCCATAAATATGTAATATGCTGCGGCGTGCAGCCCGATCCCATAAATATCCTCACAAATCAGGCCTCCGGCTTCACTCAGTCATAAACCTCTCAAGCCACTCGGGCATTCGGTCCAAAATATTTATATGCATCAAAATAGAGTCATAAAACTAAGTTATGCGGTAAACAAGTATAAACATGACTGAGTATAGATTTTTCAATCGAAAACACTTAGAGGATAGTAAGAAAAGGCCCCTAAGGGTCCAAACAACACTGGCACAAGGCCCAAACATGGCATTCAGCCCAATTTACAGAAACTCTTTCTAAAACATATAAGTATCATATAGTCTTAACAAAGTATGCAACTTTACAGTTGCTACGAGACGGACCAAGTCACAATCTCCAACAGTGCACGCCCACACGCCCGTCACCTAGCATGTGCGTCACTAAAAATAGTAGAATGATACAAAATCCGGGGTTTCGTACTCTCGGGACTCGATTTACAATCGTTACTTACCTCAAACCGGTCAAATCTCTACCCCGTAATGCTCTTGCCTCTAGACTCGACCTCCAAATGCTCTGAATCTATTCACAATCAGTACAATAACATCAATACGTGCGAATGGAATAAATTCCACAAGAAAAGCTACAAAATTAGACCAAAACCCGAAATTGGCTCAAACTCGGCCCACGTCTCGAAATCCGACAAAATTCACAAAACTAGAAAGCTCATTCACTCACGAATCTAACCATACCAAATTCATCAAAATCCGACATCGTTTGGTCCTTCAAATCCTTAAATTACTCTCCAAAAATTCCAACCCTAACCCCTCATTTTTACTAATTACATGATTAAACAACGGAAAATCACCACATATACGAGTATTAGGGCTCAAGCAACTTACCTCACTGATAGCCCTTGAACCACCCTTCAAAAATCACTCCAAAAGCTCCACAAACTGACTTGAAAATGGTGGAAATGAACCAAATTCGCGAAGTATTCTATTTATGGTTTCTTCCCAGGTTTCTCGCACCTGCGGGCTCTTTTTCCGTGCCTGCGGGACCGCACCTGCGGTCAAGGTGCCGCATCCGCGAACTCCACTTAATTCCCCAGCTTCCGCACCTGCGCTCCAGGCCTCGCACATGCGGGCTCACAGGTGCGGCCAAATCCTTCGCGCCTGCGCTCCAGCCTTGGCCTCAAATTTTTCCGCATCTGCGCAACAAATTCTCGCGCCTACGCAAGCGTACCTGCACGCTCATACTCCGCTTCTGCGAAGCCTGCCCAGCATCCCCCTTTCCGCATATGCGCCCTAGGTTTCGTACCTGCGGGCTTGCAGATGCGACCTCCAACTCGCACCTGCGCAACCTCCTTAGCCCAGCATTGCCCGCACCTGCGAACTCCCCACGTGCACCAGCGGCCTCGCACTTGCGACTCTTTCTTCCGCAGGTGCGAAAATAGCAGTAGCAGCAGCTTCAATAGCATTTTTCTAACTTCGACAAATCCGTTAACCACCCGGAATCACCCCGAGGCTCTCGGGACCTCAACCAAAAATACCAACAAGTCATATATCAACATACCAACTTCGTCGAACCTTTGAATCACTCAAAACAATATTAAATCATCAAATTACCCTCGGATTTCAGCCTAAGAACTTCTAAATTTCTAAATTCGGCAACCGATGCCGAAACCAACCAAACCACGTCCTAATGACCTCAAATTTTGCACACACATCACAAATGACACTACGAACCTACTCCAACTTCCGGAATTCCATTCCGACCCCGATATCAAATTTTTCACTGCCGATCGAAATCGCTAAATTTTTAAATTTCGCCAATTCAAGCCTAATTCTACCACGGACCTCCAAATCACATTTTGGACGCGCTCCTAAGTCCAAAATCACCTAACGGAGCTAACGGAACCATCAGAATTTAAATCTGAGATCGTTTACACATAGGTCAACATCCGATTGATTTTTCCAACTTAAGGTTCTAAATAAGAGACTAAGTGTCTCATTCCATTCCGAAACCACTCCGGGCCCGAACCAACTAACCCGGGGGAAACGGGGATATAATTTTCCGAAACAACCGATCGGGTTGTTACAGAAATAGTCACAATTATTGCCGTAGCTATGATGTTATGCGTCCTTCTTCAAACCAACATTTCAAATGCAGCTACATTTCCTGCTGGTGGCGCTAATGGTTGGGGTTTCAATATGAATGGTTGGCCTAATGGCCAGACTTTCAAGGTTGGCGATGTCATTGGTAAGCATTCATAAACAAATTTTTATATTCAAATAATAATGAAAAAGTGTATCTATTTTACAAAAATTAACGTTTCTGTTTTTCGTTTTTCTTTCCTAAAATACAGAATTTAAATACATGGCTGGGATGCACAACGTTGTGAGAGTGAGCAAGGCAGGATTTGACTCTTGCGATGGTACTGGAGGACAAGTTTTTAGTTCAGGAGACGATAAAGTAACACTTGTACAAGGAACACAGTATTTCATTTGTACAATCGGGCCACACTGTTCTAATGGTGTAAAGGTTGCTGTCACCGCCAATTAATTTATTTCAAAATTAAATCTAGTATTATTATTTCATTCCAATTGTTGTACTTTGGAGTACCAATGATATATATAGAATGTTTTATTTCTTAGATCCATATTGATGTTTTTGGCTTGTGGGGTACTTGAATGGAAAAAAAAACTAGCATAAGTAAGTTGTCATTTCATTTTTTCTTTTGTTACAATTCACATTCGATGTTCGAACACTTACGACTAAACAAAAACTTTTGTACTGATTTAGAATAGTTCCAGAAAGTAAATTGATGTACAATCAAAGTACCGACGCCACTATCACATGAAAATTAAAGCAAATAAAACATACAATAAGCAGTGGGAGCATTCCGACGCTTCGAACTTTTTGTTTTTTAATTTTGTTATGAAAAAATTGAGTAAAAATAATTTTATTAATAAACAAGTGAATTGTAGAAAAACAAAACAAGTGAATACTACCAAGCCGCCACTTAGTAAATACTTTTTCGATGAGTTCAGCGAATCTGAATTAGCCAGGCTAGTGGGCATAAGACACCAGATGATTATAAAAAAGGAATACCTTTCCAATGAGTTTGAGAGTTAGGGGTGGATTTAACATTTTTGATGTCCGGAACTCTCATTTCGAAAAAAAATTTACATTCCTCTCGTATAATTTGAGTTTAAGAATAACAAATTAAAATTTAATACATAATAATTAATTATTATTAAGTGATAAATAATTAGTTGAAAAATACTATTATGCATTTATTGGTTTAATACGAATACCTGCTAAGTTTTTAATTTTATTTTGGCATTATTAATCTATTTTATATGGGTTTGTACAAAATACTCCCTTCGTCTTAATTCATGTGATGCAATTCAAATTTTGGCTTTGAATTCGGAACACAGTACTTCATTTGTACAATCGGGCCACATTGTTCTAATGGCGTTAAGACGGTTGTTATTGCCAATTAATTTATTTCAATTTAAACCGCATTTATCAAAATTAATCTAGTAGTATTATTTCATTCCAATTGTTGTACTTTGGAGTACCAATGATATATATAGAATGTTTTATTTCTTGATCCATATAGATGTTTTTTGCTTGTGGAGTACTGGAATGAAAAAAGAAAACTAGTATAACTAAGTTATTATTTCATTCTTCAAATATAGAAATGAAGAGATATACTTATCAATTAGCAGTAACTGAAATCTTTTGGCCACCATTACAATGACCAGGAATGCCGCAAATAAAGTAGTATGTGCCCTTGCCAAGAGTTACTCTATCATTTCCAGAACTAAGTGTTTTCCCTGAAGCCTTACAAGTACCGTAATTAGCCTTGTTCACTATCACCACATTGTGAATACCTTTAGGATATTTGAATACTGCAAATTAAAAAACAAAAAAAAGGTTGTTAAAGTCATGAAGTAATAAATAAACACTACATAAACTCCTAATTAATCTGACATAATCAGTTATTTCCTTAACATACTATCTCACTTTGATAAATGAGCACTTCTACGATTTAACAAAAAAGATTGTGACAACAGAACTGCTTCGACAACTTATAAAGAAATTATACCTCAGCTTGAGAAGTTGCATTCACTTGATTTATAGTTTAAAAATAAAGTGCTTATAACAAAAGAAAAAAAGTGTTAAAAAAGGCAAATAATGGATATTAGTTTCATACCAAGCACATCGCCAGTTTTGAAATTCTTGCCATTAGGCCAGTTACTAACACCCAAAGTCCAGCCATTACCATCTCCAACATTGTAAATAGCAGCATTAGTTATTTGAATAGTAAACAACACCATAAATATAGCCCATAAAATTGCAGACCCTTGTTTACCTGACATTTTGTTTTACTTAGTAAATAGTATTTATTTTTTTTGATAGAAATTATATAGTAGAGTAGGAGATGGAATTTATTTTAAAAGGTGTAATTCAAAGATTTAGAAGTTAGCTGAATGACTTGTTACAACTTTGTGGCTTTTTTTATAGTGGTGCTAGCTAGACTGCCCAATTAATGCTAATTTCATTTTCTAGATTTTGGCAATCTTCTTTTGGGCATTCAATGTAGATTTCATGAAATCTACCCATGTTGCATGGTGGAAAAGTGCGACTTTTTCGTGCAATAAGTTTTTTCTTTTTCTTTCAATTATGGACGATTTAAGATAAGAGCTCAAATAACCGTTTAGGTGATGTTAACTGAGCAAAATGCAAATCGGTTGGTCGGCCGAAATTAATTATATTTATTGATTAAAAAATATAATATATATAGCATTATATATTTATATAAAAATATGTATATATTTTATCGGCTATTTTTTTGGGAGCTACTAAAATATACAGTTTGTCGGTTAAAAATATTCAGATTGTTATTGGTTGTATATATTTTACTACATGTGTGTTACTTATTAATCTCATCGTAGTTACTCGAGAAAAAGATTTTTAAAAAAACGTGAACTTGTTCAAATTGCGGGTAAAAAAATGCTTGACTAAAATTTTCTTTAAAACCAAAAACAATTGAAACTAATTGATCAGATTGTTGGAATCCTGGAATAAATGAAGAAGGAAATTAAAATTAATTAGGCTTTTAAGTCCTCGAATCAGTGAAAAACCAAATAGACAGACCACCAGATGTATAAGAATGGAAGGAATATACAAATGACGAGAAAAAAAAAATCTTTACACAAAATTGATTAGTTAAGGAAAACTTCTATTGCCAAGTTATTATGAAAGAAAAAGAGGGATAAAGGTATATTAATTTTGACGCTCTAAGGGAAAATAATTTCTTAGACAAAATTTCAAATGAAATTCATGACCTGTTTAGCGGGGTTTGGACATAAGGATTGTGAAATTTCAGAAGAAAACTGATTTTATTTTTTTAAAAAAAGTTTAAAATTATAATTGCAATTGGACATTAATACAATTTGGAGAGGTTTTTGAATTTTTATGACGGATTTAAAGTAAAGAATTTGAAAAATAACTTTTTGGAATTTTTTAAATTTTTAAAAAATTTCGATATTAAATTTTAAGTAAAATTTAAAAATTTCATGGTCAACACTTATTTCAAAAAAAAAAATATAAAATTGTCAAAAAAATAATTTTTTTTTTATGGCCAAACCTGCCCTTAGTTTTAGGACTAAAGTTTGATTTACACTTTAAACCCCTTTTGCTTCATCATTATGTCGGAAAATACATTGAACAACACAAAAAGGACAGTGACCTGCAATTAGAGAAACAAACTAGGAGTCGTGAATCAATGTGGTTCTTTTTGGATTCAAAGAATCAAAATATGTGGGAAAAAAAAAATAGTGATCAAAATATATATAACGCCTTTTTAAAGGGCGCTATAGTTGAACGCGAAAAGAACGGGAAGGTATAACGTCTTTTATTAAGACACTATAGTATAGCGTCTTAATAAAAGGCGTTATACCCACATAAAAACCCGTCCCCTTCCCTTTCCCACCAAATCAAAAATTCTCTCCCCCTTAAAACAAAAACAAAACAAAAAAACAGTGGTACCCAAATTGTCAACGAAAAAAAATAGAGTGGACCCCACTGGTCTCACAAAGAGTATATATTTTCGGTCACACATCCTTGCTAAGACGTATTCTAGTAGTGGGTTACTCGTTTCGGCTCCAAATCACAAAATCTTCAACTTTCCAAAAACCTTAAATTGCGACTTAGTTTTTGTTAAAACTCGTATAAAAAATGCATATTAGTTATTTTTAATGTGCTCTATGTTATTTTTTGATTGTTTTGCGATTTAACTAATTTGTTATTTTTTATTCGGACTATAGTATTAGTGTGCTAAAAAATTAGTAAAATAGAGAAATTTTTATTAGTTGTTAAAAAAAATATTAATTAGTTACTTTTTACTGTGGTATATGTATTTTCGTGATTGTTTTTTTATTAAATTAATTTATTGTTGTTATCCGCTTTAGATTATTTATTTGCTAAAAGACTAGAAAAATAGATAAATTGTTAGTTTAGTTCCCTGTAGTGGTATCTTGTGGCCAAATGTAATGCTCGTATTTGTAATGTTGTGCCCTTTAGCATAGTAAAATGTAGTGCCCTTTAGCGTAGTATTCTTGTAGTTATTGAAATTAATCATTTAAGTATCTCTTATACCCAAAAATACGTCAAAAAAAAACTGATAGTTCAAACATAAATTTTGTCCAATTCTAGTCAACAAATGTAAGAAAATAACATGAGAAAACAACAATATTTCCCGAACTAAGTATTGTTATATGAATATTCAATAATTAAATGTTGTATAGTTATGAAAATTAATTATTTAATTTTATTATAGTAAAAAATAAGTGAGTCATAAACAAAAATACATAATAACAAAACTAACATATAAATAATAAAACTAACATATAAATTAATAAAACTAACATATATAATATTAAACTAACATATAAATAATAAACTAACATTTAAAATAACAGACCTATTGAGTGATAAATCAGGAAACTTTTCTCGTCATGAACACAAGAATTCAGGATACCTTGGTGCTACTGGGCCTCAAATATCGAGTCCGGAACCCATATGTGAATATTTAATAATTAAATCTTGTATAATTATGAAAATTAATTATTTAATTTTATTATAGTCAAAAATAAGTGAGGCATAAACAAAAATATATAATAACAAAACTAACATATAAAATAATAAAACTAACATATAAATTAATAAAACTAACATATACAATATTAAACTAACATATAAATAATAAACTAATATTTAAAATAACAGAACTATTGAGTGATAAATCGAAAAAAAAAATTCATCATGAACACAAGAATTCAGGATACCTTGGTGCTACTGGGCCTCAAATATCGAGCCCAGAACCCATATATAAATATTTAATAATTAAATCTTGTATAATTATGAAAATTAATTATTTAATTTTATTATAGTCAAAAATAGGTGAGCAACAAACAAACATATAAAATAATAAAACTAACATATTAAAGTAAAATAATGTAATTAATATTGTTCAATTTACAGTAGCCGACATGGAGGTTCCGCCTTTGCATCCCGGACCTGCCACGCTAGACCTACTGTTGCTACAGGGCGAGCATAGGTCGTCTTACATATGGGAGGGACAGTTACTGGCCCAGACGTTCCGCGCTAGGAGAGTAGATGATATGTGGGACTTTCTTAGGACTCACCCTCTCCATCCCCGTATAGTCAGACGCCTCTAGGATACGGGTTTTATAGGATTGTGAAGATCGGCCAGTTGCAGCTGGATTGGTCGTTGATCACGACCTTGATAGAGCGGTGGTGACCGGAGACGCACACATTCCATTTGTCCATTGGCGAGGCCACTATCACGCTTCAGGACGTGGAGGTCCTGTATGGGCTGCCCGTTGATGGACACCCTGTTGCTTTGCCGAATGCCATTAGAGAGTATACGAGTTTGCATTACCTGGAGATGCTGCAGCGGCTCACCGGTTTCCAGCCACCGGATGAGACTGCATTGATTGGGGCCAATCGTCTGCAGTTGACTCCCGTCCGGAAGCATTTGGAGGCGATGCATGCTGACATCACAGATGATATATCGGAGCTTCATATTCACCGGTACACGAGGTTTGCTGCTGCTGCTTATGTTTGGAGGGGTTTTGTTCCCGAACACTTCGGAAAACCTAGTTAGCTTGAGATTTCTTCATCATCTTGAGCGGCTAGATGATTTACATCATTACAGTTGGGGTGCTGCTGTTCTCGATTACTTGTACAGGCAGATGTGCCAGGCGAGCATGGGCACCCAACTAGATGTTGCAGGATTTTTGCCGCTGCTGCATGTGAAAATATAGTCGAATACTCTCTTCATTATAACATACCTAGTAAAAATATACCTTAAAGTTTACGTCCACGTTGTATATTAGGTTTGGGCCTGGGAGCGGTTCTTGCAGTTGCAGCCACCTCTACCACCCTTAGCTCCGGATGCACCACCTTTATTTCTCCCTTTAGCTAGGAGGTGGGTTGATAGGCGAGGATATGGACGGGAGTACGAGGCTCGACATAATCTCCCATATTGTAGGATTTTTTGGATTTGCTGGAGGGCGCACAGGTAAATGTATACCTAAGTTTACTTGGCCTGGCTTTATATGTGCTGCGTATACTCACGTTTCCTGTTTTTACTTAATACTCCTAGTTCATTTGGAGGCCATACAGTGACAAGCTAATAGCTGGTTTGCCCGATTATTGCTCGATCGGCCGAATTATGTGGAGCTCTTCTGTCTCGTTGATGTGTCTCGATATTGTTGAGCATCATGCCACCGAGTGAGTACGTCGCCAGTTTGGTCGCCCGCAGCATGTACTGCCACCGCCCGCTTGGCATATGACACATTACCAGCAGGATGATCATTCCAGGATTGACCAGACATGTGTGGCATGGCTAGAGACATATATCGATATTTGGGACCAACGACATGACCTGATTTCGCCACCCCCGCCACCTGACCGTACGGATGGTGAGCATGAGTATATGGGCTGGTACGGCAGCGTTACCTGACTTTTCTTTGGGAATCCCATTTATCGTGTTGGCAGTCGGTATGTTCCATACGTCGGGAGGCACGGGGCACTGGTATGTTGTGCAGGCTATTGGCCTACATCTGTTCCACCAGTTGGGACTGCAGATGCAGCAGCATATCCGCGAGGGAGCATCCGCTTTGCACGAGTATGGCCGACAGGTTACCGATCTGGCTTCCCGGACATTGAGGCAAGCCCGAGATGATGAGCGATTAGGATACGAGGCTAAGTATGTGGCGCTAGAGCAGTACCATCGTGGGCCACCAGTGGATCCGGAACATGGTCGACGTGGCAGGCGTGCCCAGAGAGGTAGGGATGTCCCACGAGGTAGGGGTGTCCTACGAGGTCGTGGGGGTCGGCGAGGAGGTGGTCCCCAGTACGGGGCCGTTGAGGCACCTATTGAG